AATTTATACATTGGTAAAATCTCCTTGAGAAATGATGTCGAATACAATATTTTTTGCTCAACCTAAGAACATAAATTTTAATTTTACTATTCGATAGATGGCGCTGAATGACTGACAAGTGACAATTCAAAATAAAAAGTGTCGTGACCAATTTTCGTAAGAATTTTTTCCGTCTAGCCCCCTTTCACAACGCGCGATAAGGAACTTCGTTCCAAAAACATACATATTACAGATAAATTACACCCAGACATAGAACAAATAACCGTGCTCATCATACAGCATTTTTCTTAGCACTCAGGGTCACTAACCACTAGACCAACAGACTTTAAATGTCACAAACCGGGAAATAACCTTCTCTTATTTTTTTTATTCTATGAAATCCATTACAAATACCTACCTATATACTTTTCGTGTTTTGTTCAGAGAATAATACTGAGGAAGGTAATAATAGTTTTGAAATACACACATCGGGGTTCCCTGAAACCCATACTTGAGTGTGCATATAATAACAATATTTCGGACATCTTGCAAACAACGCCATCTAGTTTCAAACTAAGCAAAGTTTGTACTATGAAAGCTAGATTGACTGATAGAATACTTGTATACTTTTTTTTTGGAAATACATACATATAATACATAGAAAACACCCAAACTCGACGAATATTTGCAGATCAACGAAACAATCATTTGGTCTGACCCGGGAATCTAACCCGAGATCTCAACACAGCAGTAGCGTATATATAATATTACATATGTATATATTTAGGGGAAATCCACTAGGAATGAAATTAAAAGTGATCACTTCCATCGGCTTTACTACAACTGAAGAACTTGGGTCTTTTTTTTATTTGTTTTTAAAAAGACAACTCCCGCATTAGGAATATATCCTGTGTCGCGATGGCCTTTACAAACATACATGAAACGGACACAAAGAACACCCAGACTCAGAACAACAATTTGTGGATCACACAAGTGTCGTCCCATGTGGGGTTTGAACGCACAACACTCGGCGTAGTAGGAAGCGGCGTGGCGACCGCTTAAACCACTACGCTATACGTGCAGTCTTAATAGAAGACCTTGCACCTACCGACTATTACTTTTTCCAAAATTTAGACAACTTTTTAGTGGGTAAAAAATTCAATTCCCGAGAGGCAGTACAAAATGCCTTTGAAGAGTTTGTTGCCTCCGTTCCAGTTGATTTTTACAAGAAGGGCATCAATAAACTGCCAATGCGTTGGCAAAGATGCGTCGAATGCACGGGTGATTACTTCGAATAACAGAAATAAAAAAGATTGAAAAAATAAGTACTTTCACTTATTGCATACAAAACGGCAATTTCATATAAATTTCTGTATATGTGAGGAACTGGTGTCTGACATAGGCATAAGCCTGTCCTACAGATCACCAGGACCCCACACCTGGACAGTTTGAAAACAACAATTATCATTTTGACATTAAAAAAGGCAGCTAAGATGCGGTACCATGCAACAACATGGTTCAGCAAGGCAAGTAAAGAGAACAAAGCGTTAACTTCTGAAACTGTGAGTTTGATTTGATAAGTAGCCATTGCTTATTATGTTTAGACGAATTTTGATAGACGCGTGGTTGGGTACGTGGCACATTGACGTGTCATGTCAGCTCTGTCAGAAATAATAATAAAAATAATATTCTACCACATTTACACAACGCCATCTAGTCCCAAACTAAGCAGAGCTTGTACTATGGGTACTAGACAACTGATATAAATACATGTATACTTTTTTTTTGTAAATACATACTCATTATACATAGAAACAACCAGACCAAATCAAATATTAAATGTTCATGCACACAAATGTTTGACTTGAGCGGGAATCGAACCCGCGACCTTTAGAATAGCAGTCCGTTACACAAACCACTACGCCATTCGGTCGTCAAAAATACAGGATTGACACACTGAAAAATGCTGCCGTTATCAAACCTTACTTGAGTTTTAGTTTCTTTGTGTATGTTGTTTTTAACTTTTGTTTTTTTTTTGTATGCTGTGCTTTATAACATAAATATGATTCTATTCTATTCCATTATAGCCCTATTCTCTAGAGAGGTCATAAGTGATATAAACACACGTGTCTGAGACTTCGAGGAACATCTTTTTCCTTAAAAACAAAGAATACATAATAATTTATCTATATATTAATACGAGAAGCGAAAACTTTGTACACCTTTTTTTGTAAATTGTGACAACGGACGGACGGGAAATTTGACACAGTTAAAATTTATATAGAAAAGACGTGCATAAAGCTATTTTTTTATATTAAACTAGCTGGTGCCCGCGACTTCGTTCGCGTGGAATAACCTAAGCGCTGCGTAACGTGAGTTCGATTCCCGGACCAGGCAAAATTTTATAGGGTTTTTTTGAGAGAAGAAAATAGACAGATACTTAGCAGTAAAATATTATCAAAATCGGTCCAGCCGTTTTGAAGATTACCCGGAACAAACATACAGACAGACACACAAAAAATGTTTAAACTGGTTTTTAGGCATAGGTATCGTGTACATAGTCGTGTGAGCTTGAAAAAACCTATTATTTTGATACTACAAACAGACGCTTCAATTTTATTTATTTGTATAGATGTATTATATACATTTATAATAGGTACCTCGTGAACAGCTTATCTCACACTGATTCATAAAAACTATCGTAATTTTAATAAGGAAAATAGTTATTGAACATTGATTCTTATTGTGGTCGAGAAAAGTTAAAAATCGCTTGTGTACGTTAAACTGTTTTGTTTAGATATTATGTTTGCTGTTCTGACATTTCATAGTTATCGTATGTTGTAGTCACAATAAGAAAACAAGCTTTTGTTAAAGTTACCACACTCTTGTTACAAAGAAGGAATAAAACAATTCTAAAACATGAATTCTAGGAGGTGTTGTGGCGGCTACATGTAACAGATTGGTTTAAGCGGTCACATCGCCGCTTCCTACTACACTTAGAGTTGTAGGTTCGATCCCCATATAGGACAACACTTTATGTGATCCACAAGTTGTTGTTCTGAGTCTGGGTGTTCTTTGTGTTTGGTTCATGAATGATTATATAGCCCCCCGCGACACAGTATATATTCCTAGGGCGGGAGCTGTCTTTTAAATAAATAAATAAAAAATAATGTCATAATACTTCAGTACCGAATAACGACGACGCGTCGAACTACTAAGTAACTAGTTATTCGATATCACACAACGAAAGTTCTTACGCTGATAATTAAGTATACGTATCATCATCAACAGCCTTTACTAGTCCACTGCTGGACATAGGCCTCTCCTTAGAAAGGAGGTTTTGGCCTACTATGTCACGCTGGCCAGACGGGTTGGCAGTGCTGTTGTCCTGCGTAGTTCGCTTCCTGTCCACACGGACATAGTATATGTATATATATATATATATATATATATATATATATATATATATAACCTCCTAATACTAACCTTTGAGCGACAGTCCACCAAGTGTGATCACTTCGCCTGGTCCAAAAAACCAAGTCAAAAGATTCGTCATCTTAGTTTTTAAATACTGAAAGCCTTGATCTAATCCTATTACAAAATTTTAATTTTATGGTTTATTTTGAATTAATTTTTAACAAACATATTAAAGATTATTAAATCACTAGTTTCCGCTCGCAGCTTCGCCCGAGTGTATTATAGTAACCGTGATGCTTTTTTCGTCCGGTTCATATAGCACGAGATTTTTTGCGATTTCTTTAACAATCATCGTTATATTTCAGTCAATTTACATAAAACCGTCATGAATTATACACATCTTCCTCAGGAATCACATTGTCTATTGGTGAATCCGTTCGGTAGTTTTTGAGTTTACCGCATTCATACAGACAGACAGACGCGGCCGGGAGACTTCATTTTAAATTATGTAAGGATAATGGACTTACTGTGTATGTACATTGCCGGTGGACAGGCAGAAACTCTTTACAATATCTAGGAGAAAACCCCTACAATATCTGGGCAATGTATGCATTTCCTAGGAATTGGTACGAGATCTTACACTGCGCGACATAATCATAAATCAATAGCTTTTTTTGTTATCATATGAAATAACTTGACAGAGAAAGTTTACAAAACGACAGCTTCTTTAGAAACCGCACAGGTTTATTTTTGAGCTTTCGAGAGTTTACACTTTAAAACAATGTAAGTGAATGAGGGTAGTTCATTCTGTTACAAGCAGGGTATATAATAAATAAAAGTTGTCGGTTAATTTCTTTATTTCACTGTATTTACAAACACTCACTACTAGGAATCACTATATATCTTGTAAGTCACACTAGAAATTCACTCCGATGTTAATTCTCTGTGTCGTTAAATAAAACTGTGTCGAACGGTAAACACGCTCCGCTATATAGAGCTTTTGAATTTTACTAGAAATTTCCTAGTATTCGACAGTCCGTTCCAAACAAACACGAATATTCCAGAATCAGTCACCCGTTACTTACAGTGTCATCTAGGTATACAGGTATGATTTGTAAGTTTAGCCGTAGCTGCTGAGTCCATATTGGATGTGAAGCTGTCCAAGTGCATAAAATAACAACAATTTTACTTTAAATGGAATACGATTGTTAAGAATTGTAATATTTGCTACAAATTGTCTTAATTTTGTACATACATATTCAATATGTTCACTCCAGTAAAATTTATTATCTATTACAAGTCCAAAGTATGTATATTTCAATCTGTGGATAGCAACATGTAGTACTGTTAGTATGTAAGCAACTATGATCGTGTGCTATTAGGTTTTTAGTGTTCTACATACACTCATACACTACATAGTTCGGTTTATATTCGGTAGATGGCGTTAGAGTCTGTCCTCACATCATTCGCACTTTAACAGCAACACATCTCCAATCAGTTCTCGATAACTCGGATGACCTCACAATCATTTACTCAAATACTTTCAAACAGTAATCACGTTGCTACATTTTTGTATTAAAAATACTAAATAATAATTAAAAATAATGAAGTTACTTGTACTTTTGTGTCTTGTGGTTATTATTTGTGTAAACTGTGAACATCTTATAGTTGGTAATGTAGCAAACAGAGTAACCTTAGCGCACCATACTACGGCTAGCTACAGAGCTATCCCATTTGTAAAACGGGTGAAATACTATTTTTACTCGATACCAGATAACAAATTAATACAAGTGAGTACCTGATAAAAGCTTTATAAATATGTTTAAGGATTTATTTATCGGCTAGATGGTTTGGGGTTGCTGGCCGTTGGCGCTCTTTGTGTCTGTCTGTTCTCCCACCTCAGAAACAGGGAAACCTGGAAAATGCTGGTTTTCTGTGAAGCCGTGGTGTAACTCCGGTCCAGCTATTCTCTTACACTCCCCAAACCCATTCCTATAAGCAAAATCTTTTTCCTATCACTTCCCTTCTTATCTAGTTTTGCTTTCAACTTACTCAGAATTTTCCCATTAATTTTATAAACTAGCTGGACCCTGGGACTTCGTTCGTGTGCAATTTGAATAGCGCTGCCTTAGTGATTCATCAATAGCCCAAGTTACTCCTTATATTGACAGCTACCTGGTAGTAATATATTATTAAAATCGGTCCAGCCGTTTTGAAGATTACTCGAACAAACAGACATTCAGACAAAAAATATTTAAACTGGTTTTTAGGCTTATTATAAATACATAAGTATCGTGCAAATAACCGTGTGAGCATGAAAAAATCCTATTATTTTAACATTACACATGCAAACAGACACTTCAATTTTACTTATTTGTATAGATGCCATGCCAAAGTCTATTGTTGAAGATCTGTGTATAGATGTCTGTTACTCAATTACGCAAGAATGTCTGAACTGATCTGCAAGAAATTCAACACACGGATACATTTTAGTCTGTAATACATAAGCAACTTTATATTAACTCTTAGGACGTCGCGGCGCGCGGATGACCTATGACCCGTTACTGTCGCGCCCTTGAACTAGTGACCCAGTCACAGCTGAGCGAAGTCATTATTACCTCAATATCTACGTTATTTTATAATTATATTCAATGAAATAAACATATTTGGAATCCCTGATATATATTCTTCTAAATGTTGTGACAGAGACGCTACCGCGTAAAAATTTGGTGTCACAACTGTTGTGACGGCGACGAGTCGGAGGTTAAGGAAAACCCGTGGCTAAGAGGTAGTATGTTAGTGTAGTGTAGTTATTATGTCGTCAAAAGTAAGTCTAGGTCTTTTTTTTCGGGGAGGACCTGAAATAACATGGTCCGGGTCCTTCCAGAGAAGGACAACTGAGGCCGTCGGGGTGGATTCCTCGCTCCTGAGTCCCCGAGGAGCAGGAGAACCGAAGGGATTTTCCACACCGTCAAAAAAACTTATTTTTGGTGTGTGTAAACCTCCTAACTAATAGATGAGTGTCAAGTGAAACCAGCATTAATTTGTAAACCGTCTAAACGATAGATGCGGTACATTTTTTTATGATAATATACTAATAAGTGACGTCATACCTAGCTATCGTCGAATCATTTACTATTAATGTTTGATGATATTAAACATTAAATTTATAATGGAAGATAAGTATTGCTGCGCTTTAAGAGATGTTACACTTTGGAATGCCTCGGTGGTGTAGTGGTAGCGCATGCGACTGCTGTGCTGAGGTCTCGGGTTCGATGCTCGGGTCAGACCTAATGTTTGTATGATCTGCAAATATTTTTTTTCGGAGTTTGGGTGTTTTCTATGTATAATATTTATGTATATACCAAAAATATAAGTAGTCTATCAGTCAATCTTGCTTTCATAGTACAAGCTATGCTTAGCTGTAAAACTAGAAGGCGGTGTGTTGATGTCCAAAAAAGATATTATTCAAATAATTTATTTAAACTAGCGACTCGCCCGGCTTCGCAGAATTGCAATGTAGATAGTAATGTGGTATCAGTGTGGACTAATTACTATGTTTTAACTAATTATGATTAGAATTTTCCGTGTACTGTTGGAGTGGAGGTCGTCCTCCCGGGCCTTCTCCGCCGCCTCCTTCTGCGAGATTACTTCCTCGCAGAAGGTTGCGACCGCGGTAAAACAACTGTCGCTACCGGCCATGGAGCGTACTACGGCCGGTAGCGAGAGATCCACTCCGATGACTGCAGTGAGGGCCCGGCGCTGCGTCGCCCATGCGGGGCAGACCGCCAGCGTGTGCTGGGCCGAGTCCTCACTGCAGTCGCAGTGGTGGCAGGCGGGACTCAGTTCCCTCCTAGCGACCGAGTGCAGGTACTTTCCGAAGCAACCGTGCCCGGAAAGCACCTGCGTCAGCCGGAAGGTATTGCACCCAGCCCGGGGGGGAAAATCGGCTCGAAGGGCCCAGTCGTACCCTATGTTCCACAAGAGGGGTCCAAGAACAGACCCCTGTGGAACACCGCACGACATGGGCCGACACCTCAAATTACCATTTCGGTCCTCGTACACGTCGGTACGCTCCTCTAAATAGTCTGCCACTAGCCGCCTCAGGTACTTTGGCACCCCATGATAGTAGAGTGCTTCCCTGATGCAGCTGAATGGCAGACTATTGAATGCGTTGGCGATGTCCAATGACACCGCCAACAGCACGCCGCCACAGCTCACGGCCTCTTCGGTCACGGCCCTCAGGCGCAAAACAGCGTCGACTGTCGAACGCCCCGCCCGAAAAAAAAACCTATACCAACCCATCTGGTATGGTATAGTAGGCCAAAACCACCTTTCTTTAAGGAGAGGCCTATGCCCAGGGGTGGACTATTAAAGACTGTTGATGAAAAAAAAAGTATTTAGTTGCACTAAAGAAATAAACATTTGAACATTTACATTTTATTCATTTATTTATCTTCAGAAGAACCAACCAAGTCTCAACATTGCACCAAAAGTACGTGAAACGTTTGGTTGACAGGTTCTCTTTCTGTTTCAGGGTATCCAGGCACTAGACAACCTCCATAGCAAAGCTTCTATGAACATCACGGCTGGTGGCGTCGGCTACTCCTACGTCAACCTTCGCATGAAGAGTGAGAGAGGAAGCGGCCTCGAATACGATATTGGAATATACGTTAAGCAGGACGGGTGGTAATTTGTAATGTGGTTGAATTTTGAAATTAAACTTGATAAAAGTGTTGCAAAGTTGTACCTTTATTATTTTATTGACGTAACTATATATGATATATAAAATTTTCGTGTCGCGGTGTTTGTTACCAAACTCCTCCGAAACGGCTGGACCGATATTTATGAAATTATGTGTGCATATCTTGCATATTTGTGTGGTGACGGATTAAGAATACGGAATGTCACCACCCCTGTTCATCCCGTGGGTGTCGTAAGAGACGACTAAGGGAGCAAACTACGCAGGACAACAGCACTGCAAACAGAAGGAAAACTTGAAACAAACCCTATAACAACCCGTCTGGCCAGCGTGGTATAGTAGGCCAAAACCTCCTTTCTAAGAAGAGGCTTATGTCCAGCAGTGGACTATTAAAGGCTGTTGATGAACGTTTGCCGGGACAGCTAGTATCTGTATATAATTAATATACGGATTTATAAGCATTATTTCATTAGTGCAGTTCTCCTTTTAAATCTCCCGCACTAGAAATAAACCCTGTGTCGCGGGAGACTTTACAAACATACATGAAAGGGACACTAAGAAAGCCCAGAAGCAGAACAACAATTTGTGGAACACATAAAGTGTCCTCCCATGTGGGGTTTGAACCCACAACACTCGGAGCAGTGGGAAGCGGCGAGGTGACCGCTTAAACCACTACGACATCCGAGCAGAAAACTATTAAAGGCTGTTGAGGATGATGATGGTTCCTGTAAGAGAAATACTTAAGCATAAAATAAAAACAAATCTGTAAGTACTTAGTTAAAATTATTTAATAAATAATTACCATAAGTAAGTCTTTTTAATATTTCTAATAAATATGTATTAGCTAAAATAAATTCTTCTAACTTACACTCTCTTGGAAGTTAGAAGAATTTCCGTGTGGTGACGGATTAAGAATACAAATTGTCACCACCCCAATTCATCCCGTGGGTGTCGTAAGAGCCGACTAAGAGAGCAAACTAAGCAGGACAACAGGACTGCAAAGAGAAGGAAAACTTGAAACAAACCCTATACCAACCCGTCTGGCCAGCGTGGTATAGTAGGCCAAAACCTCCTTTCTAAGGAGAGGCCTATGTCCAGCAGTGGACTAGTATAGGCTGTTGATGATGATGACACTCTCTTGTAGTTTCTATCAATTACTGGTTTTCAACTCCACAGTAGTAAGAGTTTTCTACCAGGTCACCATTGTGGAGGAAAGGGTTTTATGCCCCTCCAACACAAAGGGAGGATCCACCGACCTAATGGTTGATGCTGAGAAGCTTCGTTTATGCTATGCGGCGTGAGAACTTTTATATCGCGATACAGGATTGCAGTTACTCCGTAGTTCGGTGTGTATTCGTTAGATGGCACTGTAATGTTTTTGTTTTATTATATGTGGAAGTCGTCACAAAGCCACGAGTCTAATTCATTAGTGGTCAATAATTTGTATGGTATTTTGGCACTTTTTATATAGACAGGCCTGTTGTTGTTGTGTTAGTGATCCTGTGAGGTCATCCTCTGCTTAGCAGTCATGATCACTAATACTAATATTTGTTCTTGGTGGGAATCGAACCCTCGTGGGTTCAACTCCCCCTGATTCCTGCCACACAAGCCGGTCCACAAGGAGCCGAAGGTCCGAAGAGATATCCTCCGTAATATTCTTCAAAAATCTTTCTCCAAGTATGCGCAGTAGTCTTTTTCAAGACCGTTGACAGCTGCCTCTGTGAATTAAGTAGAAAGCAAATATAAGTATGACAAGCACATTAAGGGTTTTTTAAAAGACAACTCCTGCACTAGGAATATATACTTTGTCGCGGGAGACTTCACAAACATATATGGCGACTCCCACATACAAAAAACAGAAACATAGTACAGCGCCGTCTAACGAAGACAGAGCTAACTACGGGGTATCTCCTGAATGACAATTGCTAATCCTGTATCGTGATATAAAGAATTCTCCCCCCGATTATGCTATATAAAACTTCCTAACATCAACCGTTGGGCAGGGGCCTGCCAGGCATTATCACCTCGCCTTGTCTTAGGAACCTCCCTTTATGTTTGACACACTGGGTGTCAAAAGGGAGCTGGAGCTGGCTGGCATGTTCTTTGTGTCATGTATGTGTTGAGAACTGCCTCCACACATACATGACACAAAGAACATGCCAGCAACAGCCATGTGGGGATCGAACCCTTAAAGCTGAAACTGCTAAGCCATCAATGCAGTCATTTAATGCTAATGGCCGTCAGACAACACGTGGTGGGAACTACTTAGTCAAGTCCATAGCAGGAGCTGTACTCTGTGCAATCTCTACGTTTAGTTCACAATCATTTGTAGCTTAGGGTCAGAGGGGTAAGCTTTTCAGCAGGGTGCGATCCTCACCTTTTTTTAAAGCAGTCGTCCACCTGATGGTAAGTGGCCACCAAACTCAAAATATCTTTTTTTTTGTTTTTTTATTGTTTGAAATCATCTTTTATGTAGACTCTAAAGTCATAGATCAACACACACAATAGCAAAAATTAATAAAAATTAAAATTATATAAAATCTATATGCCTGTGCCGATCTACAACCGCCGAAGTAAAGTAATTTTACGTAGATTTTCGCGAAAATTTGTAAGTACCAATATTGTTGACCTAGAATTGTCAATTCTGGTTAACAGCAAGGTCTTAAGAGAAAATTAAGGTAAATTTTGGTACTAATAAAAAAAAAGTTTAAAGTTAAAGTTTTTTTTTAAGTTTCTAAAGTTTTCGCTAAATAGAAATTTGCCATATCTTTTTATCGTGTAGACTCAGGACCTTGATTTTTATACACCTAATAGGGACCATAGACCTCAGTATCTGGTATAAATTTTAACTTGCTAGGTCTACCCGTTCCTGAGAAACTCGGTGGTGACACACGGACAGACAGACAGACTTACAGACGGACAAGTAAGTGATCTTATAAGGGTTCTTTTTTACTTTTTGAGGTACGGAACCCTAAAAATGGACCAAGTATGTGAATTTTGCAATAAAAATTACTTTCCCCACTCCTGAGGTCCTACGGAATCCAGCCAATCATGGTGCTATTTCTTTACTAACGTGAATACCATCATTCCTGATGGTTTTCATCAATATAACAGATACTCTGGCGATTTTACAATTTTGTTTTCTTAAAGGGATCTTTTCTTTAAATAATAAAACTGTTGCTTTAAGTACCTGTGCTTAACAAAACGTTTTGCCGCCGCAAATTGTCGATCAGCGCCATCTGTTTTTCCATGCGGTGAACTTGGGCTTTTAGTTGCATCTCTAACTCAGAGATTGCGTTCTGGTGCGAAACAGAAAGTGACCGCGTAGACTCTTTGAATTCCTGGAATAAGAAACAACTCTTGTAGGATAACTGTCCATCATCAATCATTATTAATAGTCTGGTCTAGTCCATTGCTGGACATAGGCCTCTCCTTAGAAAGGAGGTTTAGACCTACTATACCACGCTGGCCAAACGGGTTGGTATAGGGTTTGTTTCAAGTTTTCCTTCTGCAAATATTTGTGTCGGAGTTTGGGTTTTTCTTTGTATAATATATATGTATTTACAAAAGAAAGTATATAAGTATTCTATCAGTCAATCTAGCTTTCATAGTACAAGCTCTGCTTAGTTTGAAACTAGATGGCGTTGTCAGTCAGATGCCGGAACAATATTATTATAAGTGAAATTAAAATATAGTCACTTGTCACTTTTGAGTTGCAGGTGTCCATGGGCGGCAGTAGTTGCTTACCATCAGATGACCCCTCTGCTCGTTTGTCCCCTTATATCATAAAAAAAGTCAGAAAAATTGGGAGCGTTTGTAGGCTTACCTTATCAGCTTTCTTGACAACTACGAGTTGCTGCGTCAAGTTGTCAACACTCTCCTGCTGAGTGGCACATTTTGCTTCCAGCGAAATGGTTTGGGTTCGAAGCTGTTTCACTTCACACGACAGCTTGTCGGATAAGCTGCGTTGTTCTAGGTATTGTTTCTCTTTCTCCTTGATAATGCAAAAGAAGATTATCAGCTCTTAAGTCATATTACCGAAGTATTCTATTCTCTGACGGGCCTGTTGTGACCCAGACTGCTAAGCTGGTGGTCGTGGGTTCGATTCAAACCCAGGACAAACAGTTGTGTGATGAGCACGATCATTTGTTGTGGGTCTGGGTATAATTTATCTATGTTATGTATGAATTTAGAAATATACAAGTATGTTTATCAGCAGTCTGCTCACCAAAGCAAAGATTCTGCCTAGTTTGGGATCAGACGACCGTGTGTGAGATTATATTATATTATTATGAGACTGCACGGATGGCGTAGCGGTTTAAGCGGTCGCCACACCGCTTCCTACTGCGCCCGAGTGTTGTGGATTCAAACCCCACATGGGACGACACTTTGTGTGATCGACAAATTGTTGTTCTGAGGCTAGGTGTTCTTGTATGTTTGTAAAGTTCCCTCGCAAGATAGGATTTATTCCTAGTTGCCTTTTTTAAAAGAAAAAATAAAAGATTATTATTTTGAGAAAGCCAGGTTGTTTTAATTCTAATTTGTCACTCATACGAGATAATGGACTACTGTTCTTCTGCTATGAGTGTAACTCACCTCCAGTCTGTGCTGTAGAGCCATATACTTAGCTTTCATATCAGCTGTGCTAGCCTTCAAGTTGTTACATTTATTCAGGAGTGTCATCCTCTCACTTTCCAGGTCCGCCAGCTGAGTCAGGTGAGAGTCACACTGCGAAGCCTAGAACAAAATAGTGACCTCTTGAAACTAATAATCAATTTATCTCAGGAGTTCAATAGTTCACCAGGGATTTCCTTTCTAGGGTACACCTGGTTCCCTGGCTACAGGTACCCGAGACGGCGTGCGGTTTTTAGTCGGTTCGAGCCCGACATAACCACAGGCGAGTGGTATCCGAGGGGATTTCCTCACAGAAAAAAAAGGAGTTCAATAGTTGACGAAGATGTTGTGGCTTACAAAGATCAGAGGTAAATTTATTCTTAACTATCCATATCGCCTCTGTTTTTTTCCTGGAATAGCCAGAAGCCATTGGGAGTTATCTTTAGTCGTTATATATCTTCAGTGAAGACCAGAAGGTATTAACAAAACGTTGCAATAGAAGTTGCAGCTTCTGGAGTACGCCAGATTCTTATATGAACTGTAATACCTACATTAGGCAGATTCCATTGCTCTACAGAACTGGCTTTCTTATTGGTCATCACATCACATCATCATCAACGCCTTTATTAGTCCACTGCTGGATATAGGCCTCTCCTTAGAAAGGAGGTTTAGGCCTACTATACCACGCTGGTCAGACGGGTTGGTATGGGTTTGGTTTCAAGTTTTCCTTCTCTTTGCAGTGCTGTTGTCCTGCATAGTTTGCTCCCTTAGTCATCTCTTACTACACTCACGGGATGAATAGGGGTGGTGACTCTTAATCCGTCACCACACGGACGTCTAATGGTCACTTCTGGAATAATATATAGGCCGTCAGAACCTTCTGTGTGACAATATCATCATTTATTTGTATACAAGACTGTTGTTAACAAGTACCTTTTTGTCCAGTGTACTCTGAATCTTGTCTATCTGTTCTTGCATCAACTTCACCTTGGAAGACAGGAATTTGCACACGCTCTCTACCGCAGGTCTGTCTGTAAATACATAAGTATTTAAGTTTACGAGTATATTGAGACAGAAAACAGCTCCAGAATAAGGAATTACTCTGAGAATTGTGGAATTACTAAACTTTGAAAGTATCAGAATTTTGGCTGTCACGTTCTTGAGATATTTTTTGTCCAGGAAAGGACTAATTATACAAACTAAATCCCAAACCCAAAGGTTGGCTGGTAGAGAATGCCTTGGGCATTAAGCCCGCCGTTGTACATAAGTGCATAAAGTTGTAAATAAATAAATAAATCACAATTTTCACGATTTCTGAGGAGTGTAACCAATAAAGTGAGGCTCAGGTCAGGGCTTCTGGAGACTTCGAGTCGGCCGTTAGTAGAAGAGGCCGAAAGACTTAACTTTGAAGCTGGAGCCGAGAATTTAAAATAGGCCTTTATAAGTTTCGTTCATAGCAAAACCAGGTTTCAGGAATTTTGAGTTTTCAATATAACGGTGCGACATGTTTTTTTTATGGTGTAAGGGGGCAAACAAGCAGACGGCCGCCCATGGACACCTGCAACTCAAAAATCACAAGTGCGTTGCTGCCCTTGGTGTCCCTCCCGCTCGAGTCAGCGGGGATTTGGGCTTCGGTAACCTCACTCAGTGAAAGGCAACGAAAGAATATGTATATGTTCGTTGATGTATATGTATGTATACATTATTTGTAAGTATATTGTATACCTTCATACTAAGCTTATTACCACTACTTAATAAACATGGTCAATTATTTAAGACTACTTATATGTAGAAACTTGTTAGAAGGATAAATCAAAATCTATAAAATAATAATTAAAGTTTTTTCATTTACCTTTTAAAAATGACTGTGGCAACACTTTATTCTTAACATTAACTGTGACAAAGGCATATAAAAACTCCTTATCCTCAATATTATTTCTATTAACACAACAATCACATGCTATTCTGCTTCTATTCTGTTCTATGCTATGCTCATTATCACTGACATTACTGCTAACATCACTTCCAATTTCATTCTTTAAATTACTTCTTGCAGTTTTATTTTCAAATTTCGTATCACATCTATCATTGGTTGGTGCGTTATTAAGTGTTGTGCTGCTTCTATTTTCAAATTTACTGCTACTTCTGTGTTGTTCTGTGCTATCACTTTTAGTTTTTTTGTTTTGGTATTTTGGTTGTGTTTGCGGTGGTGTATCAGTTCTGTGTGTATTACAGTTGTGCTTCTTGGTTGTGTGGACAGGTGATAATTTGAGACTAGGTGAAAATTCAGCAAAAAAGTCTTGTTTATGCTGTAAAGAATAATTATTCATGGGCATGACAGTTATTTAAAAGGATTTTATAACACAGAACTAATCACTATTTTTATTTGTAATAGTTAAAATCAATGTTTTTTTTTGCCTACAATAAGTTTTAGGTACTTCTGTGTTTATTATCATTATTATTGTTATTGTAACCGAGTAGTTTAACACATTGCGAAGTTAAGCAATCTGAACCAGGTCAGTCTATAGATGGGTGACCATTTCTTAACACATTAAGACCCCTCCGTGCCTCGGAGACTACGTTAAGCCGTCGCCGTCAGTCCCGGTTGCCATATGAACATCTGTGGCAATCGTTATGGGTATTTGAAGCCCTAAAGCCGGACTGGATTGTGGAGGTCTAATGGCAAACGCTCCATGGAGGAATAGTTTAATATTATTACCTACTAGCTGAGACCCGCGGTGTTACCCGCGTTTGTTGTTATAACCGCGGGCAACGCCGCGGGGCGAAGCTAGTCTAAAAAAAGTAGCCTAAGTTACTCCTTATGTCATTAGCTATCTGCCAGTGAAAGTCCCGTCAGAATCGGTCCAGCCGTTCTTGAGATTACCCGGAACAAACAGACAGACAGACAAAAATTGTAAAAAATGTTATTTTGGCATATGTACAAAATATTACAAACAGACACTCCAATTTTATTTATTTGAATAGATGTATGATACAGACAGCTCATCAAACCTCTAGTTAGCCAACAAATTATGTTACATTCGTTACATTTAAAACATATTAGATAAAACAACCAATTATCATAAGTCAAACTAGCCAATTAATTATCAACTAGGGAGACCACATCATTATTTATTAATGAAAAAACAATTTACTAACAGACACACAGGTGTATATAATAAACCTACGGTTTTTAAACAATTTTATCAGTTTTGTGCAGTGTGGGGATTTTCAGAGTAAAGGCCATTGGAGATCCAGGTTTTAGCACACATGGGTCAGTTCCACCAGAGTGATAACATGGCTTCACTGAAAATCACTGCTAAGCAGTTCCTTTATTGCTTGTCATTGAGTTATTGGAGGTTGCTGAAGGCACAACCCCCTCATCATCATCAACAGCCTTTAATAGTCCACTGCTGAACATAGGCCTCTCCTTAGAAAGGAGGTTTTGGCCTACTATACCACGCTAGCCAGACGGGTTGGTATACGGCTCTTTGCAGTGCTATGGTCCTGCGTAGGTTTGCTCCCTTAGTCGGCTTTTACGACACCAATGGGATGAATAGAGGTGGTGATACTCAATTCTTGATTCTTAATCAACCACCACACCAATAAACCGCATATCCGACTGCCCCATGTTAATTCTGGCAATTGTGTGCTTGTTTACCCAAAAAAGAGAGAGTTTAAAACTGATTGCATTATAATGTAAATATAATACAGAACTGTGGTGAAATCAATTTCATCATCTCTCTGTCATCTAATGTGTAACATTGAGAAGAGTTTAGGCTTAACAGCCTGACTGCTGGACGGCAAACCTTAAGAATGTCATTTAGTCAAACGGACGGAAAGGACACAGGAACATCAACCCCACCAAATTTTCAGTTTAAAACAGTCTACAGCTGGACATAGGCCTCTAGTTAGCAACGAGGTTTAGGCCAGGCAGTATGGGGTTTCTTTCAAGTTTTCCTCCTCTTTGTAGTGTGGGATAAATTACTGTAGCTTTAGTTCGTAACTATGAGAAGGGTAACGGTAACTCGGAGCGGAGACCTGGTGACCTATAACACAGGTTTTTACCTAGCTTAGGCACCAGTCTTCTAAAATATTGTCTTAAGAAATTGTATTACTTACTAAGCATAATATTTGTAAATACTTAAAATATTGTGGTGAGAAATAAACATAATTTATTTATTAATTTATAGGGGTCATGACACTTTTTATTCTTAAACCGCCACCACACGGATCGTTTTATTCTAGGCCCAACATAAAATATTTTTTCCATGTTATCACTCTATAGTTTACTATCGATTTAACTAACAATGTTTGTCAGATAACTAATGCAGGTTGAGTGGAATGAGTGAAGCAATTACTGATAATAGAACTTAAATAATGAATGGATTCTGTCTCTATTTTAACATAAGATCTAAATTTGAAATACTCAATGTGAAATCAATCTATAAATATGTATACATTTTATCAAATTTTAAGTTCAAAACTTACCATGCTTTGTTCAATTTGTTTCATTAAACTTTCAGTTTTTTTCTCCAACTGTTTATTCAACTTTTTGAATTCATCTTCGCGAGCTAGTAATTCTAATGAATCCATTATAAAGCGGTACTCAACTACTAAATAATACTCTAAAAATATTAAAAATTATCAAGGCGAGCTGAGCAATTTTAGTGACAGCTGACATGCTACCCAACTTAAATAAATTACAGCACGTTTAGTGCTTTTGATAAGTTTGAAAGAGACTCCTTCATTTAAATGGGTTATAGTAAACTCCAAACATTTGGTTGCTATGGTTACGGTCACAACTTTAGTCAAATACAGTCCTAGTCTGAACCTTCGAGATCTCAAAACACCAACCTTCAGTATGAGAACATATGATAAATCTTTAAACGTAATGAAAAAATATATCACTAGGATACTTTTATTATAAAATGATTTGACTATATGATAAAACAACAATTAAGATGTTCTTTTAACTAATGTTACCAAGCATATGCTGCCATCTATGATTGACGTTAAGCGAAAATTATAAACATTAAACGTGTCAAAAACAGCTGTGTGACAACCAATCAGATGCCGTTCCATTGTATAAATATGTTTTCTTTGTACGCATACACACATAGATATACTTGTTGACACAATGCTTTGTTTCCCATATGATTGAGTATGGAAAAATCCCTTCAAATATCATAAAAAAAGTATGTCACACTTCTAAAGGCTCTACGAAAATGAATGTTTATCGTAAAAAATGATTAAAATAATAAAGGTTTCATCTAAAATATCTTATCAAGGTTGTTACACTAAGAGTGAGAGAGCTTGTGAAAGAGAGAGATGCAAATACAAATTAAGTGTGTGCGACAGAGATTTTCAATCGATTTACCAATGAGAACAGTCTTAACCCAGCTGACATTTTAGTGTGTTAGTGCTGCGGGCGGAAATCAGACGCTCGCTCTTGCGAAAACCGACTTGGTTGTTAAAAATCTCAATTTTGGACTGCGTTTTCGCGTCCGGACATTGTTAAACAGTGTAATAATGTATTTTAAGAGAAAAAGAAACGATTACCGGAGTGTTATATTATAGCCCAGGTGTTTTGAAGTGGAGATAAACGAAATAGTTTGCAGCTTCGTAAGGTAATTCTATTTTAAATGTTGTAACATATGTTTGATAGTTTCTTTTTTCCTGTTTTTGTGTTTCGTATACACATATCGTAATCCTGTACTTTAGAAAGTTATTGGCATGTGTGAGTTTTATATTATAACGGTAATCAGTTACGGTGTATAGTGTCCAAGTGCATATTAACCATGGATAGTGAATTTTCAAATCGGCAGTACTATATGTGTACAGTTCCTAACATTGCGTAAACAACTTTACATTATTGTTTTTAAATACTAAATTTTAGTCGTTTATTGTACTGTAAAGTACTTTGTTGTATTAAAAATAATAAGATCAGCTGTTTGCTTTGTGCAGTGAACCTGGGCCATTTTGTTTTTTTTTTTTTTAATAAAGCACAGGTATGTTTCATGTCGGGTCCAGTCCGTTAGTGAAGTGTCGTATATCGATATTGCAGTATCGATGGTTTACGGTTTTCTTTGTTTTTAGTTACCCGACCTTACTAAAATTGTTATAATGTAATGCGTTAGGTATACTCTATAGGTATTTACTAATCCCCACTTTTTGTGAGGTATTATAATATCAATATAATTATTGTTAGTATGTAGTAGTGTAGCTAGGTCAGAAGTGTCAAAAAACCTGAGGAAGCAATACTAAAGCCCACTGAACCTATACTTTAAAATATTCGACTTTGTGAAGTATGATTCATGAACTTCGTCTTAAGTATAATATATGTTTATATTTTATTATAAATACTTTGATTAACCTTTTTCAGTCGATGTTTTCTTTGCTTGATTGATACGTAAAGGTAATACTTTGTACCCCTTTTTCAACAAATATTGCGTGGCGAGCTTTTTTTTTGAAATACTTAATTTTGTATAGAAGAAGTGGAGAAAGATAAAAAATATAGGCTATAAAATTAAAAATTATGTAAAAACGGCAACATAACTTTCGGGGTACAGTATATTTTGACCTGTCATGGTACAAGAATCTACACAAAGCCAGTTCTGGTTATAGTGGTCAACAACATAAGACATTTGAAACGGTCAAAATGCCACCCCTTAATGATTTCTATTTATTTTAAATGCATGTCATTTTATCAAACAATTATGTACCTACTTAATGCGGTACCTTTGAACTAACCACGACTCTGCCTGTTCACCTGTCACTGTGATGCTGTGTAACCGGTTTACACATGTGTCATTAGACTGTATATAGAAAATACCTAAACTAATTACGTTCAACGTGTGTATTACATTATATCATCATATACCCATGATACTATTGTTTGTTTATATTTGCTTAAAAATGGGATATAAGAAAAACTTTACGTATGAATAAATCGATAAAATGGGTAGGTATCGATTACTTTAACTGGTTATTGTCTCCTTCCTAGTGGCTTGGACACAGGACAAGTACAGGTACACAATACCGGTTTTTTTGAGCAATTGCAATGTATCCCTTCCGATTTGCGGTATTTCATACCCTGCCTCTATAACCCAGTCCGATTTTATTTTATTGTTCCCGTGAAAATGAATACATTTCTAAGTTAGCGTACGTCAGGCGGCCAGCCATCAAAGACAAGCAAATATCGTATTGTACCGCTGTCTTGGTAAGGGTCCGCGTCATAAAAAATTTGGGAGTATGACAGGGCGATAATGTCCGTCTATTACTGGTAGTTAACCATTTTTTTAACCTAAGGTGAGGCCTATGTCCAACATTGGACTATTAAAGGCTGTTAATGAAAAAAACATTTTTTTGTTTTTTATGTAAAAAAAGGTATTATTTTAAACCGACTTGAAAGAAAGGAACGCATTCTCAATGCGATTGTATATTTTTTTGTTTCTTACTTCAAACTCCGTCCTTTATAAACCAATTTAGATTTTATTTTATTTGGGAGGGTATCAGTACTTTCCTGTTGGTCCTATTCAAATTTAAAGTGAAAATACCACCTCTAAGGCTGTAAAATGGAGAAATATGTGCCTATATAATAAACTAGCATTTGCCCGCGGCTTCGCCCGCGTGTATGTCAACAATCAAACTATCTTTGTACCAAATTTCATCTAAATCAGGGGTTTTTGATACCCCATACATACTTCCACACCTCTTTTCACCCCCTTAAAGGATGATTTCTCTGATAAAACTTTCCCATGTTATTTCCCGGGACAAACTATTTCTATACCAAATTTTATCTAAATCGGTTAAGCGGTTTAAGCGTTAAGAGGTAACAGATGGATAGATCAACACACTTTCGCATTTAAAATATTAGTATGTATTGTATAATAGCAGTAATAAATGCATTAAAATCGGTAAGACCCACTTATTTCATAAGTTAATTAGTCGTGTTCTATTCATTATTATTTTCTATCTTACTTATTTACTAAATAATATAGACATACAAAATTTGCAAGTACTGCAATTTCGACAAAGAATGAATATTTTTAGTAATTTTTGTATTTATTATGCTAAGTGTTCCATTATTTAATTGTTTTCAGGAACAAAATGCTTTGTTTCATTCGAAATAATAAAGTGTGTATAATAGTGATACTGTAGCCATTTAAGAACATTTTTAAAATGCATAGTCGATTCATCCATCACATTATTATAACTATAAATATTGAACATAACGGAAATCAAGATGGCGTGTTGACACTTCGAAAAATTTACTTTCACACAATACTCGCGTGTGTACCGACAACACTGCCTATGCACTTTCTACTTCTAGTTCCGTTCTAAAAAGGATTATAAGAAACACCCACGAATGATCTCTATTCGCACTTGGTTTATAATCTCACGTCTTGTCTCTGAAAGGGTAGATAAACGCGAATTTGACTGCACGTATGGCGTAGTGGTTTAAGCCGCTTCCTACTACGCCGAGTGTTGTGGGCTTAAACCCCACATTGGACGACACTTTGTGTGATCCACAAATTGTTGTTCTAAGTCTGGGTGTTCTTTGTGTCCGTTTCATGTATGTTTGTAAAGTCCCCCGCGACACAGGATATATTCCTAAGGCGGGAGTTGTCTTTTTTAAAGAACAAAGAATTAAACGCCCACATTTAGCCGATTATATTTCCAGTTCCATTCATAATAGGGACAAGTCAATTACCGTCAACTGGGCTAGATATAAACTTATATATTTTTAAACACACACGTATTATAGACTATTTGGTACCCGCGACTTCGTAAGTGCCACCTTAGTGGTATAGTACGGTACGGTACGCGGTTGTCCGTGTGGTGACGGATTAAGAATACGGAATGTCACTACCCCAATTTATCCCGTGGGTGTCGTAAGAGCCGACTAAGGGCGCAAAACAACGCAGGTCACCAGCACTGCAAAAAGAAGGAAAACTTGACACAAACCTTATACCAACCCGTCTGGCCAGCGTGGTGTAATAGGCCAAAACCTCCTTTCTAAGGAGAGGCCTATGTCCAGCAGTGGACTATTAAAGGCTGATGATGTGATGTGATGTGATGTGACGGTACGCGACTGCAGTCCATGAGGATCCTTGGATGGGATTCCCGGACCGGGCAAAAATTTATAGGGTTTTTATAAGAGCTAAAATAGCCTAAGTAAAATATAATTAAAATCGGTCCAGCAGTTTTTGAAGATTACCCGACATAATAAACAGACAGGCAGACAGACAGATAAAAATATTTAAGCTGGTTTTTAGGCATATCGTTTAAATAACCGTGGGAACATGAAAAAAACCTATTACTGTGACATTACAGACACTTTATTTTATTTGTTTGTAAAGATAAATTACACCCAGACACAGAACAAAAACCTCCATTGTAAGGAGAGGCCTATGACCAGCATTGGACTGTTAAGGGCTGTTGATGATGATGATGAGACACGGAACAATTAATGATCGTATTCATGTGGTATAGTAGATCAAAACCTCCTTTCTAAGAAGAGGCCTATGTCCAGCAGTGGACTATTAAAGGCTGTAAATGATAATGATTGAAAAGGAAATAATCATTATCAC